CACCTGGCCCAAGCCACCGTCACCTCTCACCTGGATTACCGTGGTGGCCTCTGTGAGGCCCCACTGCCCCCTGCTTCTGCCCTTGCCCTCTTGGGTCCGTTGTCTACACAGCAGCCCAAGGATCCTGTTAATAAGCAAATGGGATCATGTCATCCTCTGCTCACAACCCTGCGCTGGCTTCTCATCTCATTCAGAGTAAAAGTCCACATCCTTACGTTGGCCTCTAAGGCCCTCTGTGGTTGGTCCCCACTCCCCTTGTCCCTTCTGCTCTCCTCGTTGTTCCTGCTGTCCCAACCCCTTGGGGCTCTTGATGCTCTGCAATGGTGGTGCTGGGCCTCTGTACCCCATGGCCTTTGCATTAACTATTCCGACTGCCCGGAATGCTCTTCCTGCAGGTAACCACAGGCTCCCTTTCTCACTTCTTCAGGTCTTGGCTCAAATGTCACCTTTCCAGTGAGGCCTTCCCTGAGCATGCTTTCTGAAATGTCTGTGCCCTCACTCCTAACACGGGATACACCCAGCTCCCCACTGCAATCACCACCTCATTTACTATAGAGTTTACTTATTTATCTTGGAATTGCTTTTATACTGCTGACCAGAACGTAAGCTCTGTGAGGGTAGGGATTTTTGTTTTACTCACAGCCGATCCCCAGTACCTAGGACAGTGCCTGACACATAGTAGGTGCTCAATAAGCATTTTGCAAATGAATGAGTGAATGAATGAATGTCTCAGCAAAAATGCTGTCTCCTCCGTGATGCCCTCCCCATCTCCCACATGCTGTCACTATGCCTTGAGCACCTCCATTGTAGCAATGCTGTGTCACCATTGCTTGTTTCCCTGCCCACCCTCGCTCTGAGAAGCGCTCAAGGGTGGGGATGAAATCAAACTCTTCGTATCGTAGTGCTGGCCCTAGCCCAGTGTTTGGCACATAGTAGGTGCTCAGTTAACAGGCGTGGTAGGGAAACATGAGCACCTACTCAGGGTGAGGCCCTTTTACTTCTATGTTTGTATGTTCCCAAGAGCTGGCGTTTAAAAATGGGCTCATGGTTCTCCCGAAATAGATCTTGACCTTGTAAAATAGCATTAATAAGAACAGTTCAGGGCCACTAAACAAAGTCACTTTTATTTCTATCCCTGACTGCTCCTATGTTTCCAACTGTTAACTTGATCTCGCCATTGGATGTCCCACAGACACACCCAGCTCTGGGTATCCAAATCTGAACTCCCAGTTGCCTCCACACCACAAGGTGCTCCCATCCTCGGTT